TATATATATATATATATATATATATAAAAGAGGGAATACATAAAATGAGTTGGCGCCTCTCTTTGGTTAAGGATATTATTTATCTTTTTTCTCCTTTTTTGGCATTTTTCTATTTTCCCCCAGTTATTTTTTACTATATTATAAAAAATCAAAGTCACTCAATTAACTCTCTTAATTATGTTAAATGTGCTATGTTAATTAGTCAGTTACGTACCTTTTGTATTCCAATCCATGAACTGTACAAAACAACAAAAACATAACGGTTAGGGATGATGGGCACGTTAATTTTTAATTTCTTACTATAAATTCTGATGATTTTCCAAGCTGCAGTGTAGGTATCATTTTATCAACATTATTCAGCTATGTGCAACGATTTTATATGTTATAGTTATGCTAATTATATGCCATTTTCTTATTTGCATAGTGTTATATTGAAGTCTTTGTTGATCTATTCTTTCCCCATGACTTAAAGTTGTCTTTCTTTAATTTTTTATTACGACACAAGGGCAAAGAAACCCAGTGGAAAAGATAATTCATACCATTCACTTTGGAAGGGAGGATCTATTTGTTGGTTCCTTTTCATAGTGATCCGATCACTATAGATATTTTGCAACATGATAGGTAAGGATTTTAACAAACTTTATACATGCATATTGCAGGGATATTCAAAGAGAGGCTGCGCCAAGTTTTGGAGGAGCTTAGAATTTCCAGGAATGAAGGTTAAAAGTATGGTGAATTCGGAGTACAATGGTCAAAACATTTGATAAGAAAAAGAATGAAGATCCAAAAATTATATTTTAGAAAAGACAACTCTTCTACTATAACTCCAGCATTTGTTAGCGTTCGATCGCGAGTTTATGTATGGTGTCTACTGCGCTATGCTTTCGAGGATTTTATTGTCTTTCCTTTAGTCTAAGAGACAAAGTTTTTGTTAGCATTTAAACTTCATCTCATGGTTATGTATAGGTCTCAGGTTGGTAAAGTATTGTTTCGGTTTGACTATGATCGGAATCGGGAGAGCATACTTTCAATTTAAAGATATTTTGATGTAGCTGTTGTGCGAAAAGTGGGTGTATTCTGATAAATACTCTATGGTTTTCATCTTTTCTTGCAATTGTTTAGATGACACTATCTCAGAAAAAATCTTTATTTCCTATATATGTCTATTACTCAATATAATTTTCTGATTAGGATTCATCGAAAATATTAATACTTTAAACCGCATGTGTGTTAAATTGGAGGTTTTGTTGCAGGTGTAACAAATGATACAAAACTTTGCCGATGCAGTGGGCGAAGTAATTGAGAATAAATTGGTGTTATTTTCACCTCAAATAGTGAATACGTATCTCTAACACGCAATGAATAGTTTTATATTAAATTGATGTGTATTCCTTAATCAATTTGCTCTTTGATTTATTAACCGAAAATAAGTTCAAGAAATTCGTACTCTTATGATATTTCATGTAATAGTTAATTACATTATATTTCTGTAATTAAAGCAAATATTTTGCTTTGTAGAGTTCTTTCTATTTGTTTATTGTTATAGCTAGCTTCTATTTTTTTTTCTTTTATGTTGTCTTTTCCTTCTAAATCTGTTGTTCCTTCTACCTTCTCTTTCCATTATTTTCTCCTTAATTAAGTCAATTAAAACATTATTTAAGGAAAGATGACATTATCCATCTTTAGTCCAGAAAACACAATTATCTTTTTCACATTGTTAAAAAATTTCTCAACATTAACACCCAATAATAGATAATTATAATAATATATATAAAACGACTGGGCACTTCTCTTTAGCCAAGGATCCTGTCTATTTTTTTTTTTCTCTTTTTTTATTAGGTAAATTAGCTCAATAATGATTTGAGTCTTTTTGATTTCCCACTTTTATTATATTTTTTAAACCATACCGTATAAAAACCCAAAATGTCATTTTCTTAAACATTCTTCTAACGTTTCGAACTTCCCCTTTCCCCATAATTGATTATTTTATCATTTTGCTTAGTAATTATGTGACACTAAAAATCATTCTTTCATTTTTAACTTTCTTTCTCCTCATTAAAGCTCAAGGTCTCTAAATACATTTATTAATAAATATTATTATTACATTATAAAAAATAATATAAACGACATTAAAACGAAATGAAATGCAAGAGGATTTAACGTTGCCTCTTTCTTTCTATCCAGAAGACTCAAAATACTTTTCCTCATCTTCTCTTCTCTAATGTTTATATTAATTTGATTGAAATTCAAGAAGTACACATATTTTATGATTATTTTTTATCATCTACGCTAAATAAATTTTATATATTAGAACCTATTTTATTTAGTGTATGAACATAAACCAATTGAAGAGTTTAAGAACTTCAGCAACATTGCCAAGCCAATACTCGGTTATTTTACACTAGTAAGAACACGACGTCCGTTAAATTGACTAAAGTGTTCATGATGATAAAAAATTATATTTGTGATATTATCAATTTATATATGCTTATGGATAAAAATTATCTATTTTATCTCAAGTATGTTCAAACAAATATCAATTCAATTCAATTAAAACCGCACAAAGCGCAAAAAAATTCACTAGTTTCTCTCATAAATTCGACGAATAATTTTAGCTTATTAGAGCAATAATAATAAGATTAATTGTTAAGATTAGCGTGTAACCCACTCTTGCTTAGCAGATCACATGTGTTTCCTGTCAAACGCCTAAATAAATACAACTCTATAACAACCTCGTTTGTTCCGAATATTTTTGGCTATTATAGCGAAGTGTTGTTATAAAGAACATATATTATAATATAACATGAAAATTGGTTCCGAAAAAACTTGACTTTTATATTGAAGTATTGTTATATATGAATATTGTTATAGAGAGGCGTAACCGTGTACTTTCGAACAAGTAATTGATTATTTCGTTGGATAGATGTTGAAATTAAATATACGGTACTACTTTTCTTAGAAACTGTTACTCCAATAAGCTGCTTTCTGAACAAATAAAAGTCAACGGACTTGAGTGATTGACGTGACTTACCTGCCATGTTCCATTATTTAAGGAAGAATTATCAAATATTACCTCCAAAAGTCCAAGGGGATGACCTAATAATAATAAAATGAGTTGACATTTGAAAACCATAAGTTTTTATGTTTAGATCTCAGTAGAGGCATCACGTAATTTTTTCTCATTTGTTCAATCTTTGATTAATTGACAGAATTATTCGGTTCATGTTGGTATAAGATAACAAATAGCCCATATAATTAGTTGAAATGCGTATAAATTGATCTGGATACTACAATAATCTTATGAAAACGGGGTATCACTTACAACCAATGCAGGAAACAAGCAATTAACTATAAGCTTATTTAATAGTAATTTTTATCGTTATTCTCGTAACAATAAGAAGAAGGTCAACGCCCAACATACAATGAGCTACTATAAAACCAAAAAAACTAAAGTAGTTGCCCCAAATCAAGTTCAAAGAGATCTACTTCAACTCCTACAAGTGTAATTATCATAAAATGGATTCGACAAAGAGGTAACCAAATTCCAATGTTCTTGTTAATCATTACTTAATATTTCTTTGTCTCGTTATTTTGGATTCTATTCATGTCTATTATGCTAACTTACATCTATATCTCTTTGCTATTTCAATCATTATATTTAACTTTTAATTCGTCCAACTCCAACGTGAATCATATTAGTCATTTTACTTTTAAGATGTTCAAATCAAAAATCTTGTAGAGGGTGGGGAGGGTTCTTTCAAAATGAAAGTAAAATTTAGTGGGCGTTTGGACATAAGAATTGTAAAATTCTAAAAAAAAAAAGTGAAATAAAATTTCAAGTGAAGATGATATTTGAAAATTAGAGTTGTGTTTGGACGTAAATATAATCTTGGGTTGTTTTTGAAGTTTTGTGAGTGATCTTAGTGAAAATTTTGAAAAACAGCTTTTTGAAATTTTTCAAATTTTCGAAAAATTCTAAAACTCATCTTCAAGTGAAAATTGAAAATTTTATGGTCAAACAATGATTTCTAAAAAAATTCGAAAAAAAAAGGAAAAAAATTCTCATGTCCAAACGAGCTCTTAGTTTCTCTGTGTTCTCTTTTTGTTTTTGGCTTTGTGGTGTAATAATTTATGTTTAATTATTTATTTCCTTTTTTTTTATGGGCAGCAATGAAGATGTTTCGCACGTTGATGTGATTAATGCCAAGGATCTGCTCTCCTCGGGTCACCGTACTTAGATGTGAGGTGAGGTATTGTAAATTCTTATAAACAAAAGAAATCTACTAAAGTTAAAGCAATTTGCATTATTTTAGCAAATCTTGATAATTTCTTCTTATTTAATCTCATTTTATTTTACTTCTTTATTTCAATCTTTCCTTGTAATAAAAGCTCTGTTCTTTTCTATCTCTCTGTTGGGGTTTACGGGACAGTTGAAGAGTTTAACAGAGGACGTATTGATAAAGCGATAAATATTCCATACATGTTCCTCACTGAAGAAGGTGAAAAATGGAAGGCCATTATTTTAAATATTACATCACCTCATATATATAGTTCCATTCAATCACCATTTGTTTAAGAATATTTAATTATTATTTTTCTAGTGGATGCTAGGAAGAGTACAAAACCCAGATTTTCTTGTCCAGGTCTCTTCAGTGTGCCAAAAGGAGGATCATCTGATTCGGGTAAATATACTTTTTTTTTTGTTTCCCATCCGGTATCGGTGTCCGGTACCCGCATTGGAGCTCGTACTATATCCGGATTCGCGCCGGGTAAGGCCCCATTCGAGGGGTAGCGCTCCCTACCAAGGAATTTTCTATACTCATGGCTCGAACTCGAGACTTCTGGTTAAGGGAGGAGCAACCCCATCCACTACACCACATTACTTGATGGTGTGGTAAATATACTTATATATCTCTTAACTTGCTTTTTCAAAATTTAAATTATATACGCCGATAGTATTAAAAAAATTACTTGTCACTTAATCTAAATTAACAATAAAAATTTCTTAATTAGAGCTACCTATAATTACCTTTTAAATAATCAAATCGTGTAAATATTTCTTACACATGCAAGTTGCAATATACAAATGTAACCTCTTCTTTTGAGCAACTCTCGTATTAGAGGTGGATGCCAAGTTAACTGAGTTCAACTAACCGAATATTTTTGACACGTTGTGTAAATATATACGGGAAAATTACTGAAATTCTTAACAAATATTAAATTTTGAACTTATAATTTCATAAGCATAATGAGTTTAATGGTAGAACTTTATGGTTGAACCCGTCAAATTCAAATTCTGGATCCATATTAGCCTGCCGTTTAAAAAAAAATCCTTAAAATATAGTAGTGCTATATATGTTATTGAGTGTAGGGGTAGAAGCCTAGAAGGATGTAAGAAATTTGGAAGGAGGGTACTCAGCATGGGTGGATAATGACTTTAAAGGAGATAATAAAGCAGAAGCTGAACAGTTCAAAACTGCCTGCAAGTTTCGACCATGAACATAAGTGTGGATTGCTTGAATTTGCATTAGAATTATTTTCTGCACTATAAAGCCATTTCATATGGAATGAAAAATGGCATCATGGGAATAAACATATAAAACTTCTATATTACATTTTGATTTCAAGTTGTTGCCTGCAAAGGATTTTCTCTTTTGTTTGATGATACTGAGATTGTTAATGCTGGTGAATAAATTTTATTTGAGTTTTAAGTTCTATGGACGGATAATATAAAAGTTTTTTAGACGTACAAGGAGTAATTTTTCACAGCAAATTTGATATGGTAACATGAATAATAAAAATAATAATTGTTTGAGGGCCTCAACCCTACACTAGTGCAGAATACACCGAGTAAATCAACCCAAACAAATAAAATAATTGGATCTGTGACATCAGTATAGTACCCCTAGAAATCGTCATGTAAAGCTGTCGAACCAAAACAAACAATGGCAAACGGTGCAGTGTTCTGTCTCAACTCGCAAAACTTCAACCNGAGAGAGGGGGTGAGTGGGTTGGTGAGGGTGGGGAAATTTGAAAAGGAGTTTTGGAAAATGTTTTCCCTTCTGTTGATAAAGAAAACATTTTCTTCCAATTGGAGAAAAATGAATTCATAAAGAAAATATTTTCCAAAACATTTAAGTCAATCAAATATGAAAAAATTGAAAAATGTTTTCCTTCGTACCAAACACACCCTAAACACTCAAAATTAATCAACATCAGTGATGAGAATCGAGTGATAACAACTACTAAAATGGTAATGTGCCGAAATTTGCAAGTGAAGAAGCAGGAGGAGTAAAGAACCTGATATTAATACGTACCAAACAAATAACTGATATTAATCATAAGCGTGCAAATGATTTGTAGGCATCAAAGCTCTTCTGTCAAGCCAGATCATTATTGCATGATTGCATCATCAGTATATGTTTCTAGCTTGGCCAAATTCGCAACCCGCCCACACCCGCAAGAACTATTTTTTAAATACAATCAACCCACCCTGTCCCGCACCCGCACAAATCCAAACCCGCACTGCCTCGTATAGGTTCAAATCCGTCCTGTCCCGTCCCGCACCCACACCACCCCATTGCCATCCCTAAACAAAAGAATAAGAGTTGCGACCTCAATTGCTAACGAGTAATAGTCATGATGCTTCTGTAGAGCAAGCTGAACTTGTTTAAAGGCAAAAATAACCTACTGAGCTAAGTGAAATCGAATTTAAAGAGTGGCTTAAAAAGGCCATACTGTGCGAATAATCTGGGCCAAGCTTTCTTTTATGGAATTTTTACATTCCTATGTCATATAAGAAACTATATTACTCTCAATGTTTAAGGTTTGATATAATTACATTTAGTATACTTAATTACCAATTATATATCATTAGTAGTTTTTAAGGGTATTAATTACACTCCTAATTTAATGGTACCGTATACTCCTTCTAATACCACTCCCCCCACATTTCTCTCTCCAATTCTCATACCTTCACCCACGTTTCCCTCCCACACCCATGATTTTTGTATCAAATTCCCATTATTTCTTCCATAGTCAAGGCATTGTCAACACCTCTGCAATCTTGTCCCAATGTTTTTGTGCCCAGGGAAGATGAGCACAAGCCTGGTCGATTTGATGGTTATGATTTCAGGTTCCTTCAGTAATATAAGAGGAAAGGAAAAGAGAGCAGTAATTCCACCATTGACAGTCATTAAAAAGCTTTGAATTCAAATTTGGGTTTTCAAAAATCACTATTTGTTTGGATTGAGCGTTGTTGTAAATAATTGGGAATATGGTTTGGAGTTTATATCTCAATTTTGAGGGGTTTTGTTGAAGATTAGACTTGATTTTGGCTGAATTTCAGATTGAAACTCGAAGAAGAAGAAGAAGAAGAAGAAGAAGAAGAAGAAGAAGAAGAAGACATAACATACATTATATTGCAGCAATTGTAGATAAATTGTAGACTGTTATTTATTTATTTTTGAGCTTTTGTGTTTTTGTGTTAAAAGTTTTGATGGGAGCTTATTATTCCACTTCGTCTGTTTTGGAGCTAACTTGTGCAGAGGAGAAGATGTTTTTTAAATTATATATATTGCTATACCTTTAAATTCAAGAAAGTATGGTTGTATTGTATTTAAAGAGGCGTGAATTTGTAGAATAGGTTGAATGTGAGGAATGAGTCAAATAAAACTCACAATGGCTTGTTTTCTACATTTAATCTACAATAAAACTACATATCATTTGAAAAATTAATATAAAAATACAGAATTTCAATGTTTTCTACAAATTATCTACAGAATTTCTACAAACTGTTCATGACAGAATTTATCTTTATTTTCATGCATGTTCGTCTGGAACACTAAAGTTACTTGATATGCCAACATCTCCCGTTATAGAGGAATACAACTTATCTACAATTTTCTACAACTTTCACACATTATTTCCACTCAGTTAAATATAGCTACAATAACATAAAATTTGAGCTTTGTGTTTTTGTGTTAAAAGTTTTGATGGGAGCTTGTTATTCCACTTCGTCTGTTTTGGAGCTAACTTGTGCAGAGGAGAAGATGTTTTTTAAGTTATATATATTGGTATATCTTTAAATTCAAGAAAGTGTGGTTGTATTGTATTTAAAGAGGCGTGAATTTGTAGAATAGGTTGAATGTGAGGAATGAGTCAAATAAAACTCACAATGGCTTGTTTTCTATATTTAATCTACAACAAAAGTGCATATCATTTGAAAAATTAATATGAAAATACAGAATTTCAATGTTTCTACAAATTATCTACAAATATTTTACAAACTATTCATGACAGAATTTATCTTTATTTTCATGCATGTTCGTCTGGAACACTAAAGTTACTTGATATGCCAACATCTCCCGTTATAGAGGAATACAAATAATCTATAATTTTTTACAACTTTCACACATTATTTCTACCTAGTGAAATACAATTACAATAACATAAAATTACAGACAAATTTTATACAATATGTCTTTTGTATATTTTATATCTGATTTATACATAGTAAAAATAATTTTCATACAACTAATTATATATTATACAACTTATCTACAAATTATCTACAATTTTCGTACATTATTTCTACTAAGTTATATACAACTACAATATAATACAACTACAATATAATTTTTATACAATGTTGTTCAACTTTCATACAATAGTTAAATGAATAAAAGAAAAATAAATAAACAACAGAATACAATTTTTCTACAATTTATCTACAATTTTTGAAATTCAACCAAAACCAAGTCTAATCTTCACCAAAACCCCTCAAAATTGAGATATAAACTCTAAATCATATTCCCAATTATTTGCAACAACACCCAATCCAAACAAATAATGATTTTTGAAAACCCAAATTTGAATTTAAAGCTTCAAAGCTTTTTAATGGCTGTCAATGGTGGAATTGCTGCTCTCTTTTCTTTTGCTTTGTATTACTGAAATTTGGACACAATTGCTTTTGATGTAGAAGAATTATAGAAGATTTAGTCGTTTTTGATTTGTGAAATCAGAAAAAGTTTGAAACACAGTGTATCGAAAAAGCAGAGACGCTAAATTTGAAACGAAACTGACGAAGAAGATTAATGAGCGTGATTTGCGTTGTGGAAGATCTGGAAGAATATTTAATCTCCCAATTTTAGCGCGCCTAAATAAGGAAGCCTACAGCTACAATGATTCCTTATTTAATGAATTATCTATATTTTGTAGAAATATTATTAGCATGAAGGGTAATATGCAAACTATGAACATATTTGGTAATATAATTTCCTATATGGTATAGGAACGAAAATTTCCCTTCTTTTATTCTGCCCATGAGTGTTTAACACAATATTAAGGGGAAAAAACATAATTAGGCAATATTTAAGAAAACTTTACAAACTTTCATCAGCAATAAGTAATTAACAGATATAGCAACTAATTAACTACATTCCTAGCAGAAACTTATAATATTGGACCAAGAATAACGTTTTCAGTTACTAAATTATCTCAAAGGTTCAATCTCTAATTAACTACGTCCATATTTCACACTTGAGGCTAAACTAGGATCTCAATGATTCCTTTCCATTCATAAAAGTTATTTATAAGTAAACTTGGGATAAAGCATGTATAAAGCAATCAACAGTTAGAGAAAATAATCAAATATTGAAATAATATATATTAAATGTAATATGTATATATACACTACCACTAAGAATTGAAAAGCAATAGAACAATAAGAAAAAATATTATGAGAAAATACTTTAAAATATTCATTTATATTTGAAGTGTATCTAATCCGTTGGAAATAAGATCAACATAACTCCAATGAATTTGGAATTTAGCAGGTATAATAACAATGATATAATGTATTAATTGGAATATATATTATACATATATTTATGGAATAATTTTTGTTATATCACATATTTACTTATCACTATTTAACTATATAATTGGTATAATAATGGTATAATTATAAAATGTGGAATTGTTCTTCAGTGCATTTATATTTCAATTATTCTGAATTTATCGCAAGAATATAACTTCCACCAGAATTGATTTTTAGTATATAAATAATTGACAATTTATTTATGGGATAACTCTAACATTTTAATTATACAAATAATAATTGTATCATGTATGTCCATGTTTATTAATTTATTTAGAAAACAATTCTGGTATATTTACATAATAATTATGGTATTTACGTATAACCAATATATAATTATATAAATGGCACAAGTATACTCAATTTATTTTTTTTATTTTTTTCAAGCACGAAGGGAAACAATTGATGGGCAGGAGAAATAAGAAACAAAGCAGTAAGAGAAAGAAGCTGGATGCTTAATTAGCCAAAAAAAAAAGGAGGAAGAACGGATGTGGGGTTTGTGTGTGTGTGTTTTGGGAGGGGGGAGGGGGGCAACAAAGTATACGTTAATAAGGATCAAAATAGATCCCTCATTTAGTGGGTCTTCATTTAATTTTTAAAAACCGACAATTAAATGCTATTAGTGTAAAAAAATCTTCCATTTATGTAATACGAATCGAGTAGTAGCCAAAACAAATAAAGATGGCAGCGGGTCGGGGCGGTTGCGGTGCGGATTTAGATTCAACCCGCACCAAATAGCAAAAAAAATTATTTTCAACCCGCCCTAACCCACCCCGAATGAACCTGCCTCTCCTAGCAAA